TTTATTAAGCGCCTGATTTGTACCAGGCTGAGAATGCTGTGATGAGCAAGGAGCACACAATCTAGGGGGGCCACAGACATAACTTGGCAGTCTTGCTACCAGGTGCTCAGTTTCATGATCGGGTGCTGTTGGGACAGAAAGCAGGCTTCTTACCTGGTGTTTGGTGATCAGAGGTGGTTTCCTGGAGGAAATGGTGTCCAAACCAACCTCACTAATACATGTTGAGATTAATTCTTTTTCTCAGGCTAATATTGTATTCAAAAGAAATCAGAAACTGGTTTTTGTTTTTGTTTTGGGAACACTCAATACCCTTCTGTTGAGAACGAGTTGAGAAACTGAACTCCATACTCCAGCCATCTGGTATATTTTTCCAGGCTTGTAGTTGATCATTCTCCAGTGTTGATTAACCTCTGCTTCCCAGAACCTTCCAGGCTCTCTGTGACTGCCATACCTTTGCGTACGCATTCCTTGTGTCTGGAAAGCCATCCCTTTTTGTCTGCCCACTGCCTTCTCTTCCTCCTTCAAGACAGACAGTCACTTCCTCCAGGATGCCTTCCTTGAGTGCTAAGCGGGTAGGTTGGGACAGGGCCAGGCTTGATCTGCGTACTTCCCCTGCATCAAATAGTCTGTCTGATTCTTCATTCCTCTGTGTAGCCTGGAGGCAGAGGCAGCATCTTTCACAGAGTCCAGCATGTCCTGGGCACCCAGGCAGTGTTTGTTGAACAAGCAAATTCCGAAGCTTTTGAAGGTTATAGCCACATGTATATAATTGAAGCTCTTGGTTCCAGCTGGTTTTAAGAGAGTGTTACTGACTCAAAGTAGAAGCACCAGTGAAACAGACTTTATGCATGTGGTCTAGTTATTAGCCTCATAAAACTCTTTACAGTCTTTTGCATTTATACGTCTTTACTTTTATTTTTTGCCCGAGTAACCCATAAACTGAGTAATTCATAGTTTTCACTTCTTGCCAACTACTGATGTATATTATTAAATCTGACCACAGTGATTTATTATAAAAGAAGTCTTTTGGTTATTAACAAAAATCAATTTGATTTAGCATATGTCAGAAAGAGGGGCTTATGTGATGAAGAGAAAGGGCTGTCTCATAGAATCCCAGATGCAAAACACAGCTAGGCTTCAGGAAGAACTGGTCCCAAGAATGACAAGGCCAGCAGGA